GTATCTCATTCTGGCTTCTCTATCTTGTTCATCCAAAAATATCCACTCGTCTATTGTACTAGTCAATTATAGTTTAGTAATTCCTTGTGTTTTTGGTCATCCTCTTGGCAAGTTGAAGATCTGTAATAAGTTAAAACTGGCAATACTTATTCTACTTTAATACCTTGAGTAATGTCCATCAAGTCATTGTAATTTAGGGTAGAGTCTGCTATCAAAAATTTTGTAACATGCTTATATGCTTACATTATATATTATATAACAGATATTTGTCTACAGTTCTACAAAACCTTTCATAATAATAACTACATTCTATGGAAAATGACAACTAGATATGCAGGTACTCGTGTTTATCTTTACAATTGATTATGAACTTTAGCAAGTTGGCGAAATTTGGAATGATAGCTAATAAGGAAAAACGGACTGTATAAGTGACAGCAATTGATTTAATAAAGATCTTGAGTAACGTTAATTGAAGCGACTACAAAATGAAATTACGTAATGATTTTAACCAAAACTTGGCCGTACTTGAGCAATTCCATTTTCAAACCAGTCATTAACTCATCACTATTTTTCAGCATGAAAGTCAACATGGTACAAAGTGTGAAACGATTGACTAGTGCTAGTAAACACCAGAAATGATGACCGTGCAGGGATAATCTAGGATATTCAGGATATTGTCCAGGGATAACACTCAGCAATATCTATAAAACACACAGATTAACAAGTATAAGAGAAATTCAGTTCACAACCCAAAATGTCAACTATAGGTCTAATGGCGATAAAGGGACGATTATATTATGGCAATAATGTTAGGGTTTGCGTTTAAAATGACATCGATTAAGATTGCCTTAGCTGGTTGAAAGACTTACCTGCTAAGCAAGATGAGAATGCTAACACCCAACAATATCTGTCAAAAGTACTGATTAATAAGTATAAGAGAGAAATCTGTAGTATGGAAAAAGAAAGTGAGAAAGAAAAGATGAAAAGATGTTTGATGGTTGAAAAGAAAAGAAAAGAAAAGAAAAGATGTTTGATGGTTGACTGCCATTTCATGTGTGGATGGCAGTAGAAGAAGAGGAAGACCAAGTAGAGAGTCGGCGCTGCAAGCTACTGTGCAAAGTAGCTTGTCACCCTATAGAAGTAGGGATTGACTCTACAGCGGACAATATTATAAGCAAGATATCAACCGAGTAACCTCACTTGGACTGAGAAAGTATGGCACAGGCACGCTGCTTACTGCATGCTCGCCATCAACTTTTCTTGGCTCTAATTGAAATCACTAATTTACTTTGTAAACTGTGGATAGCAAGGTAAGAAACAGAATGAAAGCAGGCAATCTCGCCTTTGGGGTCGGGA